AATGTACAACTGAAGGAATCAATAAGAACGAATTACAAATATATACATGGAGGGATTTTCACAAACAAAGCCTTCAAAAATGGATCTTACATCCAGGATGTGCATTTCATCCTGTTTGGGGCTCTCCAGCTGGATGCACCTGCATCTCAGAGTTTATGTTCACTCAGAGACTAGAACCCGTTACCTGATGCCATCGCATTATCCACTTAACTCCTGAGTCCAAATAACCGACAAGTTTTGTAATGAGGCGTAGATCGATTGTTTGAATCTTCTCACGGATGTTTAGGACTACAAATGATCAGTTTCTTTAGCATAAGTTGATAAAAATTATGCATAGTTTTAGTTTTAAGATCTTCCAGAAATATCAGTTTCAATCATGTAATGTAATGCTTAACTTTTATATTCTGAAATAACTTAGTTTACAATGAATCTCCAATGATCACCTATTTTCATAGATATATATCGTCGCATTCTATCACATAAATAACTGGAATATATAAAGATAGAAAATCAAGATTAGAACAATAAATATACATATTCAAAAGATAAAAACATCTGCTAATATGTAATCATGTTATGTACTCATAAATTCATCATTAACTTGTCTACAAAACTTTATTACACCAAGAAAATGGATAAAATTTTTCGATTGTTGAATATATACATTTATTCCAGAAATGAGTAGTGTTTTTCAATTCTAACTAGTAATAATTCTATAATATTATCTTACCTTAATATTTAAACAATGATAAATATTTCGTACATCATTTTCACTGAAAACTTATAAGAAATAAATAGATAAATAATGTTTATTTGGTATCTCTTAGTAACGGTATATACGGAATAACAGCTACTTATTACCTTCTATACAATTATATAGACTACTAGGTCATAGTAAACAGAATTTTAAAAAAAAGGCCAATGATAAATGTATGGAAATAACTGTTTGCTTTTACGAATAAATTTTAAGTTTATTATTCAAAACATTATATTATTAGTATTCAGAGGTAATAGTATCAAATTGACTCTATTCCTCTTTTTCTCTCTGTTTCTACACTTCAATTCTTTCAGGTCTGTTTAACATGTTTCAGCACGAAATATGTTACAAGTATCCATTTAACTAACCAAGATGGAGGAAAGTGAAGATTGAACGTGCGTGCTAATATATATATATATATATATATATATATATATATATATATATATATAAGAATTTTGTTATCCCCTTCTTTTTTTCATTCAATCTCACAATAGAAGAATTTCTGGCCAAATAAAATAATAACTAGCTTTAAACTGGTAATAGCAATTACATGTATGGGATTATCAATCAAAGAAATAAAACAGTAGAACGTGAAATGGTCGTTAAAAATGGCAGTCTTAAGGGGAATCATTAAAAACCATTGCGTTAATGAGTACAAAAGTGATAAACCTCTGTTGTTACTTTGGCTGTGAATGTGACCAATGATCATTATAAATCTCAAATCACATTTACTAGTTTACAAAAGATTCATCCTTTAACTTCTGTATAGTTATTTTTAGTATTTTGTCATCATTTAAGTTCTCGAAAAAAGTTTTTATTGTTGTTCAATAGAAAGAAAACATAAATCAGTCTCATAAAATATAAACTTTTTAAATAGAATTTGTAGTTTAAATATTATATCATGTGTATTGAAAAAGAATTTCCTAGCAGCTTATTACATGATGAGTTACAATTAGTAGGAAGAGCTGAATTTACAAAAAAACCTGGTTGATTAAAATTAGATGATGCACTTCAGAACTATGATACTATTGTGCTAAGTTTTGCAAATGAATTCAAATAGAAAACTTAATTACATGAAGACATATAAACATGTACATTGCATAATACCCTGAAATATAGAGAATATCTTCTAAAAGGGTATTTTTTCTTGAAGATACTAGTAAACTTTACATTTGTAAAGTTTTTACTGAATATTCAAAAGAGAAATGTAATTCTTTGAATTATATTCAAAAGATTAGGTTTGTACACACATTTTATTTGATTAACCTGAAAATAAAATTTATTTAAAATTTCCTCGAAATCAATAATCGATCAATGTCAGACCACCGTTAGAAACTCGCATGCACTGGACGGCCGTTTCGTTCTAGTATGGACTGATCAGCAGTGGGCATCCATGATCTCTGCACGCCGGAGTCGAACGGCGTATGAACGTTTAACCTAAAGACCCCGGCATGCGATGGTGCTAATTTCTCACGTTAATCAATTCAATGTACTGCAGAAACTCACCCAATATCTTTGGTAGGTAATTGCCTCACATCTAACACGGATAAACTCCGCTTGTCACATCGTTCGTGCGCGAAAGCGAAGGTTATGAGTTTGATTTCTCCGTGCGGAGGTCATGGATATGCACTAATGATGAGTCCCATACTGAAACGAAATGGCCATCCAGTGTTTTTGAGTTTCTAAAAGTGGCCTGACATTGATCTACTCATGAATTCAGTGAGGCTCAACAATCTCCACAACCTTGTAATAAAAATTATTTATAATTCAACTTCAAATTATCTAAAATAGCCGAAGTTTTGATAGTTGTGTTCTTCACCATGTCAATATGAAGAAGTCAATCATCATCGATTTGTCATTCTCAGTTATTTTGTAACATCCACAATCTTATTCAATATAAACAGACCAATACAACAAACAATTCATCGTTTACCTAAAATTCTGAGTTGATGGAGAAAATTTGCATCTCAGGTGGATGATTGTGGTGATGTTTTGTTCTCTAAGATGGATATCCAGTCCAGTAAATGTCAATTCACCCACTTACACATGATATGTGAATTTTGTTGGTATGCAGTTTATTCATTATTAGTTGCTTGTAGCTAATATTTCTCATTTTAAAAACTCAAATAAAATAGTCCTCTGGGTATGAAATGCTTCTTAAACATGTGTGAAATAATTAATTTTCAACGTTTATAATGCCTGGAATAACATCAAAGACGATACTTTATTTTTTCATAGGGTTTTTCATACGTAGTTGTTAAACTGCATTGTGTGAATAAAACAAAGTTGCTCTTTGCCAAATTAATACTGATTTTTCACTTCTCTGGTTTTATAACCTACAGTGGTTGAGTATCAGTGATACTTTCAAGCTTAGTAAGTTTATAAAATTACAGCTGGCTTTCTACTCTCAACCTGTATGGACGGCGAACAAGGGCGTCTTTATTTTTCCGAGCTATCCTCGTTTTCAATAATCCACTGTATTTGACTAAATAAAAAATAAAATACCAAGTTTTGATTGGCAAACAGAATCGAAAAAGTCCAACTACATTTATTTATCCTCGATAAACGAAAAGGACACATAATAACATGTCTCTTGATTGTATTTAAATGTGTATGAGACACTTGGACTTTGAATTATTAGCCTGTATATAAATGACAATTCAGATTCTATAATAGGTTTGTTTAACTACTTAACTAGTTTTCAGCTTTATTACGCTTATTAAATTTAAATGAAATATGAAGAATGAACGTGTTTAGGATAACAAAGTAATATTTCTAGCTGAATAATATTCCTCCTTCATTTTTTGTAAGTGATAACAGTTCATCTAAGAAAAGAATCACATTACTCAATAGTTATTTTCATTTTCAACTTCGTTGACGTTAATTCCATGAAATTTGACATCAGCTCAATATTTGAATAAGAACAATTATCGACAAAATAAACCCTCTAATTTAATCAGTAAACTTAAACGATTTAATTACTATAATATGGGTTTTTGAACTGTCATTAAGTGATAACTTGAATGGAAACATTGTGCTTGTACTAATATGTGTTTTCACTAGACAGATATGAAATGCATACAAAACTACTATAATTACGATTTGAGTGATAGGCACATAATAGGAGTATATTTCAGAAAATTAACTGTTATCTTACTCCTAAACAGAATATTTTCATTTAGAAAGTTTGAGTTCAATGTCAATATTATTGTAATAGAAAAAAATGCAAATCAATTTTTATCATGTATCATCGGTATCAACTGAAATAAAATGTTGGCTCAGTAATGTTTTCATATGTTCTTGAGTTTTCGCCTCGAAACTATCAGATTATTTTGTCGTAAAAATGGGCTTCTCACTTTCAAAAAACGTTTTTTAGAAATTTTTGTCACCATTTCTGAATGAACAATTTGTTAAAGTTTTGGTAGAAGATGACCATTGCAAACTTTCCATCAGGCTACATTTTTTTTATCACGCGGTTGTTATGTATTCTCTGAAGAAATACTTGTCAGTTGAATATATCTGCAGTCAATAATGATCTGGTATTTTCCGTATAATCTAGATAAGTATCATTACTACATGCGTAACTTCAAAATAAGCCAAGAATACTGACTGTTCAGAACATTAAGTGATGCACGCATAAATCTATTCGAATACGTAATTTTGTCAAGTGATTATTTAAAATTGTTTGCACAAGAAAATTCTATTCATTACGGTAAAGTAATTTACCAGTAATATAATAATTCACTTTATTTCTATTGAACACAATCATACATAAATAACAACAAGGATTGACTTGCTACTTAATAAATTTGTTAACATCATGCCATTAAAGATAAGTAAATCTATCGTAAAAATAGATTGGTTCATTTCAGTTGTAGAAAGATTGAGAAACATTTACAAATAAGAATAATTGGTAAGAATGTAAACTCAAAGTACACTAAATATTCTGATATCTTAAATGATTGTCTTTAGTCTAGATCAACTAAAAATGAACAATGTATTACTCTCATTTGAAACAATAGGGCGTACCAAATTGAAAATTATCATTTCGAAATTCTGATAAAGAACCAATAAAAACTTAACTATTTATTATGCTTCATGTTTTTTAAAAACAAATTATTTCGAACAAACATGATAAGTCAATATCAAATCAACTAATCATAAATAATATTAGAATACATATAAATTTGTGCGAAAAAGTACTCTCCAATGGAAAAAAAGAACATTTCAACGAATAAATTTAGAAAAATGTCTGTAAGTCAATTGAATCTAAAAAACTTGAATAAGTTTCCGGTGAATCCGATGTATTATAAGTGCATGAATCGTGATTACAATTGTTTATTTCATTACTTGTTGTCGGTTGACAAACATTAAAATCTGTGTAAAACTCATTTTGATCAGAATGACTTGTTGGATTATTTCGATTGGTAAAATTGTTAAAAAATGTATTTACTACCTGAGTTTTGTAAGGATCATAAATTGCATCAGTTGATTGAAAATATGCAGAATTATTGTCTGCCATTACATTTTGAATAGAAGTATACACATTTGAAATGGATTTGTTACCGATTGGCATTGTGCTCATTTGTGACGGGATGATAACCGAGTCTGGTTTATGATTCATTTCATTGACACACATATTTCTATTTTGTATCATTTCATACGGTCTCATAGTAGGAGCAATTATAGGGATATGTGATTTATTAAATGGTTGAGTGACAACTTTTGAAACTCTTGTTAATCTTGTTGCTTGAAAATAATTTGAACGATTGGGACATAGAACCAATTCAAGAGGTAATTCAGAGGTAGTTTTCACTTTGTGTTGTAATACAATTTTATTTGTTGATTGTTTACGTTTACGTCGAGGACAGTATTTATAATTTGGATAACGTCTCATATGACAATCACGCAGTCGATTAGCTTCTTCGATAAATGGAATTTTATCAGTATTTGTTAAAGATTTCCACAAATTACCTAATTGTTTACTAATTTCAGAATTATGAAGTTTAGGATTTTCTTCAGCCATTTTACGCCTTTGTAAACGTGACCATACCATAAATGCATTCATTGGTCGTTTAATTCTTTCAGTGTTGATATTATTATTATTAGTATTATTGCAAGGAATTAAATGATTATTAGTTAGATTAGATTGCACTGTAACCACTGAAGACGATGATACTGATAATGCTGATGATGACGATGATGATAAAATCGATGATGTTGACAAGGTCAGCGGAAGAAGTGGTGATTCATTTACCAGCTGAAAAATATTTGGGAAATAAATTCATCAATCAAAGTGCAGTATTATAAAATGGATTACAAATTGCTAAAATAATAGTTTAATGAATACTTATGAACATTTTAAATATATTTTAAAATTGATCAGTGTTTATCTTGGAAGACATTTTATCAATCTAATGAAATCAGTTGATGAACTTTTAAAATTTAGATCATACTGAATAGTCTTGCAGCCGAATTTGACAATCCTCTACAGTATTTTATAAACCTATGGTCAAATGGGATAAATATAAAAATCATGTGTTTACCGACTAACAGCTCCTAAATGGATTTAACTGAATTTAAGAACTACTCATCTAGGAACTGAATTCAGTAAGGTATGAAACAATAACTCAGTGGTGAAGATTTCCCTTTATTGAAATAAACAGAAAGCCAAATATATGTTCAGTATGCACTGGTTCTTGATAATGAATTGATTATTCTGAAAAGTTTCAAACTGAATCGGAACATCTGTACAAGGCAATCAAGATTCTCACGTTTCTTTAGCTACAGTAGGTTTGCAAGAAATTTTCTCTTCATTTTGTACGTGAGTTTCACTAAACAAGTATGTTGTATATTATCAAAGTGTTGATTGAATATACATTGTAATTCTTCTACGTAGTAACATATCTGAAGTTCTGTGCTTGTGTAAATCAAAAGTTTCTATTAGGGATTCACTCTTAGATCTACCATAACCTCAAACTTAATAGCAATATATGGGGGTTCATTTCTTGAATGAGAATGATTTTCTCGATTTACTATTCAATTAATGCAGTTTGAACATCGTCAATTCGAATATATAATAACTGAACTAACTAATGAATATACTCACTGAACTTTTTCACTGCAATTTATGATTTTTCAAGTAACATTACAACGAACTATTTAGTTGTCTGTTTGCTAAAATCGATTTCATACCAAGTATTTCAAAACTACAAAAGAATTTACTTTGTAGACTGTAGACACTGACGTGATAGCTTAAATATGAAAGTCTATTCGATTTTGGAGATTACTACGAATACAAAATTATCTGTTTTTTAACTTGAACATCTGCAAGTCAACAACAAACAATATTTTTTTCACAGTATATTTCTATTTCTTGTGAAAAACTATTCAGATTTATCATAAACTTTAAATATAATCAAACCTCACTTCACCTAATCAATAAAAATCTTTTTTGTTATTGACCAGGTTGATATAAATTTATATCAAAATCCTAAATGTTAAATCACCTCATGTTATGTCTTAGTAGTGTTTACGAGGCTTCGCTCATGAGTTGCAAACGTTACTATTTATCAATGAGTTAGCTCTTTCACAAATAACTCAAAAAGCGTTTTAGCTATTGACATACCATTGTGAAAATAGAACACACATATGTATGTTAAATCTCTGATTACGATTCCTAGGTACATTTTATAAAGGTTAATAGTATTCAGCAGTAATGTAACCATTTGATGATACTTGATTAATGTCAGTTAAAAAGCACTTCTCCTATATTTGGTGCATTTTTTGTAACGCGAAGAGGAAAGTTTTGATTTAAACCAACAAGAAAACGAGTGCAGACATAATGTGACACATAATATAAATAATGGAAAAGTCATCACTTAAAAGTATTCACCCTGAATTCCTCCTCTCCTTATAGATGCTATAATATCTTTTAAAGGTGTTAGTAAACAGAAATGTTCATTTCAATCTTGGCTGAAATATCTTTATAAATAAAATGATTATTTAAAGTGGCTTATCACACCTGTACTCAACTTTCGACTCACATAAAAGTTTCAAAAAACTGTTTCAGCTTCATTAAAACAACTGAAATTTTTATTTCAAGAACCTGTGAAAATTCTTACATACCTGATATCAGTTAGTTTGTATCGAACATGTAAGTTTTCAACTGTATTTTACAACTTCTATAATTCAGCTTGTTTTTTGAAAGTACGTTACTGTTATTATTGTCAAACATATAAAATCACTAGTAATATTTACTTTTGTAAACATTTTCATTGTCTCAAACCTTAAATATCAAAACGAAGTTTGTTGTCATGTCCATGTTAATATATATATATATATGTTTACGATTTTTTGTTCTGTAATAATTTAACAATCAAACTTAATTATAAATCATTCTTGAATGCACCTGTCGTATTGGATTCTATGTTGTAGAGCTTATTGTAACTTATTACCATTCGACTATTCATTTCTCATTTCATTTCATAAGAAATCTAATACATTAACTCATCTCTATTTTTATTCTAATTTAATATTAATTGGATGTTAGCTAAACATTAACAAGTTAAAAAGACAAGAATAAAAGCATAATCAAACTAGAAGATAGGCTGGTTAATTGCATTAAATGCCGTTATTAACGTACCATTTGTCGACATGGATATTTTTCTACATTCTGCTTACGATTATCCAAGTAGATATTGTAATCCAATCGTTGTTGTTGTTGTAATCTTAGTTTCTCGTTTTGATGGCCCAAGTCATGTCTCATGAAACTTGATTTCATGAGATCTTTTATTGATAAATCAGATTCAGGACAATTCGAAGATGAAGATGGTGATAATGATGTAGCAAGTGGAGAATAATAGGAATTTGCTGTGTGTGTTATATCTTCTGATATACTGTGCACATTATTCGGCATCAGTATATTACTTACAGGTGGTAATATTGTATTACTTCTTGAATAATTTTGAATCGAAGCATCATTCATTGGTATTAAGCAAGATTCACCAGTTCTTAGCGTAGCTGACTGAATCATCTGAAGCTGATTATGTTCACCAACAGTGAGAATAGATGCTTTTTGTAAAAGACTATCTGTTTCACCAGCTGATAGTAGTTTACGTGTGACTAAATGACTATCTTCTGTACGCGGAAGTGAATCGTATTTTACATGACTATTTAAAGCTGGAGGTGTTGTTGAGATACTTTGACAAAATGGTTGAGAGAAAATCATGATTTAAACTTTTGTAAGTAGTTATTATTCAACAACTACAAAATTTCATATTAAAACTGTATGAAACTTATTTTTGTGGTATTTCTAATCTCCTCACATTTTATAAAATACTACAAATATTGGGAACCCTGCTCTTTATGTTATTTCTTGAATTCAATGATGTAAATGTACTATTTCAAACAAATAATTTGAAGCATATTTTATTAAACTTCAAGATTATTTCAAACATGCTCAAAAACAATTGTAGCCTAACTGTAAAATTAGATTAGTTGTTTAAATAACGTAAGAAACCTACTCCCAATAGACCTTGAAAAATTTGAGGTAACTTTATCTATTCTAAAAATTCGTGATCATTCACCTTGAATAAACATTTCTCTTTAAAGGGAAAATATTAAAACATTAGGTATATTTTATTAACAAATAACAGAATATACTATTTCTATAGGATGGTCAAGAATATTGGGCCTCTAGAATCCTATTCTTGTTTACGCGTAATGTGTACTTGCAGACAGGCATTCAAGCAAATATAACACATATAGATAGATCTATTGAGTAGTAGTAAACATGGCTGTTTACATAAGTACACGCATAAAACATACATACAAATAATCTCACTATCCAACCCCCACCCGACAAGTTCTTTTCCTTTCTACTCATCTGACATTTTATTTTATCTGCATACATTGAGTTCACAATGTTTATTGAAGGCAAAAGGCAACAAAAATTTTGAAAAAAATATCAAGTATAATCTAGTTGTTTACACACACTAAGTATTGTGTACTTAGAAATAAATAGATACATTTTGAAAGTTTGAAGAGATTTTAAACTGCCTGTATGAAAATAATATGCTGAATTTTGTTCAATATTGTTATTAGTTTTAAGATTCATATCATTAATTTGATTTCTATTACTGTAGCCAGTTTTTTTTGATAATGTGAAACAGTGGAAAAATAACTTCAATTAAAAATCAATTTTTTATACACAATTTATATCCTCAGTGTATAATGTATTCATGTTTTCTAAATTTCAAACTATAAATGATCATATTTGACTGTGATGGATGGATGAATAGCCTAGTATTTTTTATCTTGTTTGCTATATACTACGATAAATTGAATAATTGATATCAGTTGTAAGACAACTCTCGTTTTATTTTGATTAGAATATGTAAAACGATTCGAATTGCCTAACAAAAAGTAAGTAGCGTACCACTTTATGTTGAGTGTAACTCCGCCTAGAGCCCTTCTACCGTTACTGCCGGTCGCAAGGTCGGATAAAGGAAGAAGGTTGTGCATAGGGTTAGTGACCTCATCCCGAAGAAAACTGACTCACTAGAAAAACGCTAAACAGAAGAAGTAATTCCATAAACCAATATATTCACAGTATGAGATTAACTGACTTCTAGATAACAGTTAGTTATTCTGTGAAATATGATCATTTTCAAATATAATTTAGGAAGCTTTCTTAATGTACAGAAACAGATAAAATTTTAATCATAAATCATCCGACATTTAAATACTAATTATTCACATAATGTTTACGTACATTCATTGACTTCATCGACATTTCAGACATTTCAAGTCGTAAAATTCCTATTTTTATTGATTTAGTTTCTAATAAATTATGATAGATTTTCTCTGTCAAAAGACAGGGTAAATAATTACTTTACGTGTCATATGTTCATACTTGAAAATTTCCACTTTTTATTACAAAAAAATTAATATTGTCTTGATTCTTCATTTAAAATATTCTAATTATGGTGTAATTTTAGATCGTAGAGGTTAGAAATCGGATCATAGACAAGAAACTAATTATTTTACTGCTTTGAAACCGAGATGTATAAGAAATACAACAGCACAAAAGAAATTAAATGAAAGGCCAACAGGAAAAGTCGGTTTTGCTTACTTAAAAGGCATTTCTCGAAATGTGTTTAAAGATTTATTTTTCGAAGATATACTGAGCTTCAGATTGAATAGTCATCTATTGATTATGTTGGAAGCTACATTACTTGGATATCTTTCTGAAAATAATTCACATCTGACGCATCAGTAAACATCACACATTTTGAAAATATAAACATTTCTGTCCCAAAACCTTTAAACTTTGAAAAAAAATTTAATGAATAACGATAAAATAAATAAAACTTCGGTTATGAATGCCAAATATCATCATAACAAGGTCTGAACAAAGTAAAGAACAAAGTAAAATCAGAAACAAGTCAACTTCCAGAAGACCTTTACCAATTTATATGTGTCTTTGTATGGTTCATACTATATTTTAAATTATGCGCAACATCGTGGTCTTGTGACCTACTGAATGTTCATTAACCCTAGTGTCCCACTGAGACAGTGCATCGCACGAACATCTCAGATTTCGGGCTATCCGAATAACATACTGGCATATATTTGACAGAGCGCATATATGTAACATATATAATGATACACCTGTAATCATAAAAAACCAATAAGAAATTTTTTTAAACCCAGTAATGAACTTTCAGTTAATATCAGATTTACGTTATAAAATGAAAATAAACCTGATAAGCTATTAGTTAGGACAGCTTAGTTAAAATAAATTTAAGTGGAACTCTTAATCTGACTCTCTACTGTGAATCGATACAGTGTATTAGTATATCCATTCAGTACTAATCGTCTCTTGTTAAGGAGATTTAGTGAACGTTTTATAACGGAAGAAGACAAGCAGAAGTACAAAATAATGTAGTCGATTCGTTGCTATATAAATGATTTCACATGAACAACAATGAAGATAAATCGAAATGCAATGAATTGTCAATAAATGAAGTATTTCCTCAGCATAAAAGTACGTTAACAGCACTACAAACAATCCTTAACACGGAACGAAAGCTTTCAATGAAATAATTCACACACTTTACAATACTTGTGTTTGAATAAAACCTAAAATCTTATTGTTGATCGTTTTTACATTACCGAGTCTTCTCGGGAATTCCTGACATACCGAATCTGTAAGCTACACAAATAGATCTAATAATTCTGTAAAATTTGAAAATCTACTAACCAGATCTACAACAGTAGTGAATACAGTATTCAGCAGTCATAAAATCGATATGAGAAGATATTGAAATAATTTTAAAAAGCCTCTCCAAAATGCTAGAGAAATCTTAGTGACAAGTTCATTAAGCAAAATGAAATATAAAAATTACTATTAAAATATTTGTTTTCAACTAACTAACTTTTTTTTAAGAACAATTCCCATAATTAACAATTCAACTTTTACAGATAATAAAGTAATCACTTGAACCTAATACAACCTAAATTATATCTGAGAGTTTGACCTCATATTTTTTATAGTACTATTAAATTTCCTTTTCTTATGATTTTACCTAACATAACATCTTTCTACTAAAAAATTAACACTCTTTAATTTTTAGAAAACAAATTTTGTATTTTTACTAAGGTTATGTAAGTGAATTTCTATTGTTCTATGTACAAAATTCTTTAGTTATTTCTTTCTATCTACTTATGTATTTCCTAAAACTTTTTTAGATGTAAAACTTGCGAATAAAAAATTGTTGTCAATCATCAATTTTGAGGTGATTATCTTCACTTTTGAAAACAGATAGATATTAGCTAGTAATGAAGTCCAAGACTCAAGTTTCATCCTATTCTAGACTTATCAATTGGAGGTATTTCCATGTTCACTCTGAAACCCGAACCCATTACTCTTGGTTTCAAAAGACAATACTTAATCCATTGAACTACAGAATACAGAAAACTAAAAACTTCTTAAATGGCTACGATACTTGAATTATTGTAATTAGGTGTTAGAATTATCCTTCCGTCGCTGTTCAAGATTGACTTTAGTTTGGCCTTTGTCATCATAATTATACCTTTAGTGTATGGCCTTCATATAGCCATTCTGTGACATAATCTTTTATAACAGTGCAACTATAACCATTAGCAAACAGAATGACTCTGTCATAGCAATACACTCAGAATTCACATTTAAATTGTTACAGTCAACAGTTGTTACCTGTTAATCAGATTTTAGGCAGCTCAAAAACTTTGCACTTCTCCTCCATAATCAAATCTTGCTACTGATCAAACATCATCAAAAGGTTAATTTCCAGAATATTAGTTTCATGTCAATCAAATATCCTAGTTATAAGTCATAACCGAATAGTTGATACTGGTTGAAAAGTCAAACGCAAATACGACTTACTAACCTAGTGTGAAATAACAACTATTTACGTCCTACGTTACTCCCATGTAGTTATACATACAATCTTACCTTACAAAACAACTTTGGCCACTAAACGACACATCAATTAAATATTTGCTTCAGTTACAACATGAGTGGCGTTAAGGTTAAAAATCTAAATCTCATATTTATGAATTACGTTGCATATTACTTAAGTTGTTTTGTAATTATAAGTAAAAGGTTCGCGAAGATTTTAAATTCCCATACATTTTATATCACGAAATGATCTTACTTATACCATTGTTGATAACGTAAAAACATTGAACGGCTATTTTGTTTTGGTATGGGTTTCCTCAGTAATATACGCTCACGAGCCGGCATAAAGGAATCGAACCCAGAATATTCGGTCTTGAGCACCTGCTCCTAACATCTGGACCATTTTCTTGAATCCACTGGCAATTATGTCTAGTTTCAATCAATTCACAACCTCCGTCCATAACCTGAGGTGAATCACTGTCTCATACTCGACATATAATTCTAGATTATTCTCATCATTACTCTGGAGAAAAACTTTTTTATAAACAGTGTTCATTACTAAATACGATATTTTGCTATGGTTTATAATGCTAATGTACTACAATACGCTACTCACCGTGAAAATAGTCTGAAAAATTACCTTTCCTACAATTAGATACATTTAAAACAATATTATATTATTCTGATTTCCTTTCAACATTGATTTAAATCACAAACATTATCAGTCCATGCAAAGTTCATGCAAACAATGACTTTCTACAACTGCATCAAATCCTTGTTTCTAT